AAGTATATTATATTTTCCTTTTACAGCTGCAGACTGAGGAAGATCCTGAAACACACCAGCAAACCCTAAAACAGACAACAGTTTACAGATGTTTTTCAGCGGCAGCAGAACTATGACGAAACTTTTGGGTGAAACTTGTTTACTTTTTTCATACTTTTATTACTTGTGGGAAAACTTGAAACACTTTTAAATAAGTATAAAGAATGGCATTGGTTTTGTACATTTAATTTTTGTTTAACGTTATTAATAAAAATGTTGTTCAATTAGCATGTTTTTGTGTTTTGCTTTGGTACCGAAATTGGTACCGAGAACCGTGGATTTTCACTGGTATCGGTACCGAATACTGAAATTTTGGTACCGTGACAACACTAATGCAAAGTGTGCAAAATAACTAATCTCAATTCTGTTTATTTGCAACTACCAACAAAAAATGTGCTCAAGACTATACAGTTCTCTTATACAGATAAAGAACTAACTGCTTGTCATTAAAATGAGAGCAAGACGCAGATTGATCACTTACTCTAAAAAAAAACAAATGGCTTTAGCTTCCTAAAGCTCACCTTGAGAGTTTTTGGAGATCAGTACTGGTATGGGGTCAAATTCATCTTCATTGGCCATCTCAGCACTCGGAGGCTCAAAGCCTGAGATCAAACAGTCTGCAGCTGAGAGGCGATGAGGGTTGGGGCAAATGACAGTTCACGGGTAAAAGATTTAAGAGGGTGGTGGTAGGGAGAGACACAGATGGGTGAGAAAAAGACAGCACTGTTAGCATGATGTCAACACTGAAATAATCACATTAATGTTCTTTGGCCGACACTTTCTTATCAAACCTAAACAAATGTCTAGAAAGTGTATATAGTATGTTAATATCAATTCATTTTCATTTTTAATAAAATGCACTTTACAGTTCCATCCCAAAGTTCTTTACGTGCCTCACCAGGTCACATAAGCTATAAATGCCAGCAGAAAAAAAGTGATTTGTTGTACCTGGTATATTCTGGGAGGAGCCGCCTGAGACAGGCGCAAAGTCATCCAGACATGAGGCAGAGCCAGAGGGGAGAGAACAGCCCAGCAAGGAGTCCTCTCCAATTAAAGGGTCTACAGCAAAGTGGGGAGCAGCACCAGGGAAACACATGAAAACATTAAAACCATGAAGTTGCTAACTACATAAAAATCAGGGGGTCATATCTTATGAGGTCCACTTTTAATCTTAGTCAAGGTTTTTGTGAAAACTAAATTTTGACTTTTTGGTACGACCATTTCCTATTCTTTTCCAACTCTCAAAATTAAATTGGATCATTTTGCTGTATTTTTAGGTTTGCTGAGTCGAACAAAGTTTGTGCTGCCCCATCTGGACACCAAACAGGCCTTACAGGCGTGTAAATGCAGATAGTCATGTGTTTAATATCTGTCAGAAAGTTGTGGAAATTCAAAAAGTGCCTTTTTTGCAACTTGGTTTCAAAAATATGGTCTGGAAAGTTTTTAATTCAAAATTTTAAAATGCAGTCAAATTAGCAAAATTTCGTAGGTAAAAAAGGTCCACTGTCAATAGTGTAGTGATCCATGAAGCACAGTTCACACAAAAGTTACTTTAAACCAAGCCGAATACCTCAACACAGCCAGTCTGTGTGACCAACTTGAACCTGTTGCCAAAACTAAATGGGAAATCTTTCGACCAAAGGTGAAATTCCCAATCGTGTGGATTCCTATTAAAAATAACTGGATTTCCCCAGCGAAAATCTGTCAAACAATGTGACCACACCTTTAGAGTGTTTTCATTGTACACTGAATTCATATATATCTAAAGATGAAAGAAAATGTTCTCATTATATGCCCCTTTGAGCATCTCTGCATCTACCTGCTTAAAGTACAACATTCTGCATCCTTAATGTGGGGAAAAAGGATCCTGAGTTTTTAAATTTTGAAATCAGCTATAATCTCAACCAATCTCTCCACTAGGGATGGGCATTCGATTACATTTTCTTAGTCGATCGTCGGGAGAATTAACGATCGACAATCGATTAATCATTAATATTTTTATAATAAAATTAATTATTTAACTTTTATAATTCAAAAATGCAATGAATACAAAAATACAGCGTGTTTTTCCTCGATGAGACCTTTATTACAAGATCAACTTGTGGCAGACAGTTAAACTACGTTCAGTTAGGCAAACCGAACAACGATCAATTATCGATCGTCGATTAATCATGCCCATCCCTACTCTCCACACAAAGAAAACATTCTGCCACCACTTATGTATTTGACGGTGTTAAAATGCTAGGCTGAGGCTCGTCCGTCTCTGATGCAAATTTTTACCTTTCAGTGCGGATGATGCTGGTTCAGCCTCCACAGGGTGCAGCTGAGCCTGAGGGGGCTCCAAGCCAGGAATCAGAGAGTCCAAACACACTTCCGTTTTGGCTGGGAGTAAGACAGAGTGGGGACAGTATAAAAAAAAAAAACCACGATACTGCACTGTAAATTATTCATCACATCATATACATCACTGGTATCTTACATAACGTTCAAACCAATGATTCGTGTTTCATTCTGCTGGACCTTGTATGATGCCTTCAACACAGAGACTTGCTGCATATTCCGGTCTATTCCCCAAACAATGGAAATCATAAAAACTTCATTTCGCTACTTTGAGCCCTACATGATAAATAGATTCTTTGAGTCATCTTGGAAAGGAGGGGTGAGCAAGTCATATCAACAAACAACAGGTGTACCTCAGGGTTCGGAACTTGGACCCCTCATCTTTTTCATATACACAATATTTCTAGGACCCATCACCAAGCAATAATTCGCTCTGCTTTTTTCTACCAATGCAATGCCTTAACACACTACTCTACCTGTTGTCCCAGCCTTTAGTGTGTTGATTTCACAAGATCTCAACATTTACAAATCAAGTTAAATTTCATGTGGCAAAAAGACAAAATTGAAAGCTATTACAAATAATACAGGGACTGGCTTGATCTGCATCAAACAACAAAAAGTGGAAAATGTCATTTGTCTCAGAGAACAGGACAGTGTTTAGTTTAGCTTTTGTAAAAGAAAAGCACATAGAGAGAGAGTCAGCAAAAGCTGTTACCATCTCTAGTGTCATCAATGGAGCAGCCGAAAGGGTCAGCCATGGACAGCAGATCAGGCAGCATGAGAGAAGTATCCGGAGACTTCAGGCCCTCTATCAGCTTCTCTGTAAGTCAGCCAGTGAAAACAGCCAGCGTTAGCCAGAATAAACACAGAAATGCAGGCGTGCGGAAACTGAGAGGAAAGCGAAAGGACAACGGAGGATTTGAAAGCCATTTGATGATTAAAAAAAAGGTAACTTTAACAAACAGAAATAAGCAGCTGAAGAATTATCAATGGGTCTAAATTATACACTGCACAATGCAGGTTGAGAACCCAATGTATAAGCAGCAGTGGTCTCGTAGAAACGCAATTTTGTTCTGCTTTACACTTTGTTGTTCACTAGAATGACAAAATATTTTGAACTTTAAAAGTGAATGGGATAAAAAAAAAAAAAGAAAACAGAGATAGGGTGGCTTATCTAAGTACTAAGTACTGATGCAGTAAATGCAAAAAGTGGGACAAAAATCAACAAATCAAACGTTAACACAAAGTTATGCCTAAAGATACACAAAAAAGAAACTAATATTAATGTATTGGTATGTCTTTCTTTTCAAACAGTATTAACGTATGATATCAAATTACAATTATTTCAGTAACTTTTTTACATTTACTTAGTTTTGCAAATTTTCCCATTTCTGAATATTTACTTGATGCTGTTGAAAGATATCTGAAAAAGCACAAGCAGATTTATGCAATTATAATTTATATTTTGTTTCTTTGTTCCATTTGTATTTGTTCTTTTGCTTTTAATTACTTTGTTTTTTCTTATTTATTATTAAAACTTTTTTCAATAATTACTAGAAAAAGCCAAAGACGAACTGTTTCAGGTTGATTGTTAATAAAAAAAAGTGTTAAATAGTACATTAGTGTTGCCTTTGGTAGCAAAACTGTTACTGTGAATCACAACATTTCAAAGCATTGGTATTGTGGTGTGTGCACCGCAGTGTGTGGTGACCACTAAGGTGCATAGAGGTCAGGTAAGGCTGGCATGGACCTCTGGATTACCTGGTACAGCTAGCAAACCAGCTCCCAGTTCTAAGCCCAGAATGTCAACAGGTCTTTCAGCTGTATAAGAGCAGAGAAAGAGAAAATTGGAAATGCTAAAGTGGTCAAGAAGTGCTCGAAAAGGGTGGCATTAAATGCTGAGCATCAGTTTAAACAGAGGAAGCAGGCAGACTCAGCAGGGATGTGGAGGTAACTGGTGGGCCTTGATTCATCTTAAAGGGTTAGTTCACCCAAAAATGAAAATTAGGCTGCGTTTTACTCACCCCCGAGGCATCCTAGGTGTATATGACTTTCTTCTTTCAGACGAATCCAGTCTGAGTTATATTAAAAATTGTCTTTGATCTTTCAAGCTGTTTAATGCCACTCAGCGGGTGTTGCATTGCTTCAGTCCAAAAGAACTTAAATAAAAATCTCTCATCCATAAAAAAAAACAGCTCACACGGCTCGAGGGGGGTGAACAAAGGCCTTCTGTAGTGAATCGATGCGTTTTTGTAAGAAAAACATCAATTTTCAAAACGTAATAATCACTTGAATCTAGCTTGCGCTCACTGTTGTAAACAGAAGCAGTTCCGGCGGAATGAGTATGAGGTTGGCTTTATTCCGACTGGATTCGTCTGAAAGAAGAAAGTCATATACACCTAGGATGCCTCGGGGGTGAGTAAAACGCAGCCTATTTTTCATTTTTGGGTGAACTAACCCTTTAATAGGAGTCTCCTGCTGATTCCTGCAGTTCGACTAGCTCAGATGCACTGAACATGTGCCATCATACAGTGAGGGAGGCCAGGAATGGTACAGAAATAAAGCAAGAGATTGACAGAAAATAAACAGAATATCAATGGCCAAATACAGACAAAAAGAAACCATAATGTCATTATTAAGGAGTATTAGGGTCATCTACAATATATTCCCAATGATTTATATTTGTTAAGTGAATTCAATTCACTAAAATTCATGTAAGAGTGGAACATTAGTTTAAGGATGACGGTACACCTACCAGAGGATGGAGGAGCAGGTTCTGCAGCTTCCAGCCCAGGAATAAGACTCTCAGTAGCGGCAATCAGAGGTTCAACAGGTTCTGCAAACAGCAAAAACACTTTAATTTAAATTCATTTAATTCATTTCTCACACACCCACCAATACATAGTACAACGTGCAGTAAAAACCTTTTGACACTCTCCACACAGACACATATATATATATACATATGTGTGTGTGTGTATATATATATATATATATATATATATATATATACATACACACACACACACACACACATATAGTGTTGGATGTGATAAGATATACAGTAGTCTGTGAGAAAGTAAAGTTACCGTCAGCTAACTTGGTGAAGTCTTTGTTGAGCAGGTCCTCAGCTGTAAGTTTGGAGAAATTGTCATCACCAAAGGGATTCCAGGTGGGCTGGTCAGGGGGGCTTTTCAGGCTAGCGGCTGAGGCAGGAGCTTGAAGAACAGAAGTGCTGCCCTGCTGTGCAGGCTGGTACACACTCTGCTGGGAGGACTGGGGAGAGTTGGATGGGGTGGCGCTGGCTGACCTAATTGTGCCCAAATAAAGAAACAAGTGCTCAGACAATAGATTTAAGTAGGTTCAAAGCTGACAAAACATTTCTTCTTGGCTAAGTAGGGAGTATAATAGCAGTGTCTCTCTACATTTATACGTTAGATTTCTCACTTTGACTTGTTAAGGCTGGCCTCTGCTGTGGCCGCCTGCAGCTGCTGAGTGGACTGGCTGACCGGAACACCGAACATAGCGCTGTGAGTGACATCACTCTGAATGCGTCTGTGCCCCGCCTTCTGGGCCGTCCTTGGGGACGAGGGAGGAGTTTGGGAAAGGCCAGGGGCCACAGTCTGAGGAAAAGACAGCAGGATAAGCAAGTAAGAACTCTTTAAATACAGAGAATTTAGAATGGAACATAAAATTTCAAATTAGATGCAGTGAAATGGCATGAATAAAAAAAAAAACATAAAAAACCAAAGGTGAATGCAGATAAGAAATAAATATTAAAAACTGATGCATCATTTCCAGCATGACCTTTTTTCTATAAGAAATAGTTCAGACAAAATTGTTGTCAGTCGCTTGGTTGTTTGTGGCAACAAAAAAACATTTTTTTTTATAAACTCCAAAATCACATCTATACTCACATGTAGTATTAGCTACATTACTGTTCAAAAGTTTGGGGTTGTTTATATACAATAATAAATGCTGTTCTGAAGTATCATTTGACGTTGAAGACTGAAGTAACGGCTGCTACAAATTCAGCTTTGCCACCTCACGAAAAAATTGTTTTAAAATAATTGTCCTTTTAAACTGCAATATTTCACAATATAACTATTTTTAACTATATTTTTTGATCAAGAACATGTTGCCACATTGAGCCTAAGAGAATTCTTAAAAAAATAAATAAAAAAAAACCTTAAGTGTATACAGTGAACAGTAAATATATGGAAAAATAGAACAGTGTGTAAACAGTAAATTATTTATTTTGTCCCTCTTTCTGATGCTTAAGTCATTTCCATGTCAATTGATCTAAATATACGGGATATTTACTACACTGTCTAAACAATTGGATTTCATCACTTCATCATCTGAACTGACAAACACTTCAGAATGTGGTGTAAACAAAGCCTAGAAACCATAAAATAAACAACACTTCAGCAAATCAAAATTGAAAGCATACAATTCTAATTATTTTAACAAAAACATTGTCTGTCACAATTTTTAGACAATCTTCAGAGCAAATAAACCAAAATGAGCAAACATCTGTCACACAAACAATCAAAACCATCTACAATGATCCAAAATAAACCAAGGATGGACAGATGGAGGCAACACAATGGATGAGGCGCAGCCCCTTCATGAGGTGCATCATTAGTGAAAGTGAGGCTGCCAGCTCTTTGAATCAAACGGGACAGAGCAGCATGCACATCATGGAGGTGATTACCCTCTCCTCTGCCTTCTCTGGGCTGATTTGGGATTGAAGCGCTGGCTGCTGGACAGTGGGTGGCACTGCTGCAGGCTCAGCCTGTACTGGAGGCGGGGCACCAGGCGGCTGAGTGACAGTGGGCTGGACGGGCACCGGCTGCTGCAGAGCCACAGATGCCTGCTTACGACGGGTGCTCCGTGCAGGCGCGGTGGGTGGGGCGGGGCTGGATGGAGGAGGAGTGGCTACTGCTTTCTGAGGGGCGGGGCTGCCAGCTGCAACTGGAACACCCCCTCCTGCGACTGCAGTCGCAGCTGTGACGGGGATGGGCTGCACGGGCTGTCACACAGACAACTATACTATGATGTGAACCATAAATGTGACCTTTACATATCACTGTTACTTTAGTTTAATAAATGCAATCTACAGGCTGGAACAGTTAACGAAGTTAAATTAGAACAGCGTTACACTGCTTTTATGCCATTTTATCTTCCTAGTTAACCAAAATTCTTGCAACTTCTTATTATCCTAAAATACTTCCTGCTCTGTAATAGACTATAAAATTAAAAAGAGCTGAGCATTGTAGGTTTTTATTAGTGCAGTGAGGTACAGACAAAGTAAAGAGACTTACCGTTTGCTGCTGAGGGGCCGGAGATGCCTGGGCTTTCTGAGACTGCAATGCTGCAGCCGGCTGAGCCAAGTTCATGCTGACAGCTAAGAAACACACATAGAACAATTGTGCATTTTAATAATTATTTATTTTGAATGAATAATAATATCTCATAAGAGAAATCAGTCAAACTTATTAAGACAGGCAATAAAAAAAAAAAACTATTAGGGCTGTCACTAACCATTATTTTCATGAACAAGTAATTGGCCAATTATTCTGACGATTAATCGAGGAATCAGATAATTATATATTATATAATACACCTAAACGAACAACAGCCTTTAAAATGACTTAAAATGCATATATAATAGCAATGAGGCAATACTAATTGGTTCAAATAAAGTATCAAAAGCAAGTAATCATATGGTTTCATTGAACAAAACTGTTAAAATGCATAATGTATTATAAACAAAAGAAACTAAAGTACATTATGCATTATAACAATTGCCTGCAGAGGGCGCCTGATGGCCTGACAATTGTTTTTACACTTTACTGCACAATCTAATCCTTGTTTAATATTATCTAAACATTTAATTCAAATGTTCACTTAAACTTTATATTTGCCCTTTACTTCTCAACAAAAATTTGAGGGAATGAGGGTGAGCTTTTCTCTTGAAATTGCGATGAACAGTTAGCATATCGAGAAAGATATTGATGTATTCTCCTGTGTTTGTGTAGGTTTAAAAATTATGTACCATACAAATCTGATGAAATGGCGCACATTGCATTCCCAGATGAGTTTTATAATAAACCCAAACTCTGCAATATGCAGCGATTGAGTTTGAGATGCTCCACACATGTAAATGATAACAGTTTGTGTGGAGCAGCATTTACTGTGAACTAGGGCTGCAACAATGCAATATTTACATTTAATATTTATAATAAGAATTTTATATTTACTATAAATCTGTGAATAACATGTTAATAATGTTAATGTTAAAATGTTACTAATTTTGTTAAAGACGTACATTTATTACACAAGTTCAGAAACAAACAAAACAGCTATGACGTTTCAGTTCTGCTATTGGTTCAGAGATGGCATACTGTAGCTATAAGCTTATTTTATGCTCACATACATGTAAGTGTTGAAGAACAGTTCATAATATTGATACCTATCGGCTGGGCGGCCCCAGCGGGCAGGTTGGCTCTCTTGCGTGGGGTCAGGGCAGCAGGCTGGATGGGCAAGATGCCTCCTAGTGCCTGGGACTGTGCGGCTTTGGGCCGCTGGCGTGGGGTTATGGAGGTTTCAGTGGTGGGAATGGGGTCTGTAAGTCTACGGGACAAAACATGGAGACACAAATTTCAGGTTAAATTTACCAACCAGAGTACTATGGAGTCTCTGGACAAATACCTCGCCTTGGTCTGTGTTTGGCTCTTCTTTGTGGCTGCTTCGCTCACTCGGATTGGCTCAGGAAGCTTAGCAGGAATGGGAGAATTCTGGGGGGACACATTTCAGATTAGTCTTTTTTTTATGATTTCAGGCATTCCTACAGACTGACACACACAAGCACCCAATCCAACAACTGATCCCAGAAGTAAAAGCACTGACCCAACAGGCTGAGAGTGACCGCAGAGGAGAGGAAGGAAAGCGACTAACCTTGACGTTTTGGACAGGGCAGTCCCGTCTGGCCAGTTTGAAAGCAAAGTAGGACACCTGATAAATGTCAGGCCTCTTATCAGGGTCCGGTTCCAGCATGTACCCTGACAAAATCACCACCACAGAGAGAAGGAAAGAGGAGGGAGAGCAGGAGAAACAGAGATTGAGTGTCACCACGTGACAGACAGAAGAAGGGCAGAGCAGATGATTGGTATTTAGTGTTTAGAGTGTTTATTGATATAAGGAAGTTGAAGGAATAGTTCATCCAAAAATGAGTCTTAATTGCTTAACCTAAACTTGTTCGAAAACCATTTGTACTTTCATGAAACAGTGTATCCTTGCTTATTTATATATATATATATATATATATACATATATATACATATATATACACATATACATATACATATATATATATATATACATATACATATATATATATATATATATATA